GGTCATGATATGTAGTCTTCTTGATGATTTGCTGCATTCTGTTTGCTAGTATTTTATTGAGGATTTTAGCGTCTGTGTTCTTCAGGGAGATTGGCCTGTAGTTCTCTTTTTTTGGTTGGGTCTTTCTCTGGTTTTGGTATCAGGGCAATACTTGTCTCCAGGAATGAGTTAGGGAGAATTATTTCCCTTTCAATTTCATTAAAGAGTTTGTGAAGTATTGGCATTAAATCTTTCCTAAATTTCTTGTAGAATTCAGCTGTGAATCCATCAGGTCTTGGACTTTTCTTTGTTGGTAAGTTTTTAATTTCCAATTTCATTGCACTATGGTCAGATAATATACATGGGATAATTTCAATTCCTTTGCATTTATTTAAACATGTTCTATAGGCTACCATATGGTCTATTTTAGAGAACATTCCATGTGCAGCTGACAAGAATGTGTATTCTGATGTTGTTGGGTAGAACAGTCTGTAAACATCTACTAAGTCCATTTCACAAGTTTGGTTCAGTTCTATTATTTCTTTGCTGATTTTTTGTCTAGTTGATCCATGTCTTTGTGACAATGGGGTGTTAAGGTCCCCCATTATGATTGTGTTATTGCTTATTTGATGTTTTTCTGTCCGTTAATATTTGTCTTATGTAGTTGGGTGTTTCTGTATTTGGTGCATACATATTTATGATTGTTATCTCTTCCCCTTTTGCAGTTTTCTCCTAACAAGTATATAGTGACCTTCTTTATATCTTTTGATCATTCTTGGTTTGAAGTTTGCATTGTCTGCAAGCAGAATAGCTACCCCTGTTTTTTTCTGGATTCCTGTCACATTATTATTTTCCATCCTTGGACTTTCAGTTTGTGGATTTCTTTTTGAGTTAAATGTGTTTCTTGCATGCAGCATATTGTTGGATGTTGCTTCTTGATCCACTCTGCCAGTCTGTTTCTTTTGATTGGTGAGTTCAGGCCACTTACATTTATGGTTATAACTGATAAGTATTGGCTTATCTTTGTCATGTTATTTTCCTGCTCTTGGTTCCTTACTTTTCTCTGTCTCTCTCTCTCTCTCTCTCTCTCTCTCTCTCTCTTTTTTTTTTTTTAGTCTTTTTGACACAGGGTCTTGCTATGCAGTTCAGGCCGGCCTTGAGCTCACTTTGTAGCCCCGGCTGGTCTCAAACTCACAACAATCCTCCTAGCTCAGCCTCCTGAGTGCTGGGATTACAGGTATGCACCACCACACCCAGCTACTTTCCTCCTCTGTTTAATTGCTTGCTCTGCTTGGTGGTTCCTTCTTATTGTTATTCTTGGAAATGTCATTTGTATTTCTTTCTAGAATATCTTTCAGTACTCTTTGTAGGGTTGCTTTGATGGTCATGAATTTCTTCAGTTGTTTTTTTGTCATGGAAGTATCTTGTTTATCCATTAACTTTGAAAGATACTTTTGCAGGGTACATCAGTATGGATTTGGAAGTTGTTTTATTTCAGGACCTGAAATACTTTACTCTAAGCTCTTCTTCACATGATGGTTTGTGTTGAGAAATCTGCCATGATTCTGATGGGCTTTCTTTTATAGGTGATCTGTTTCTTTTCTCTAACAGATTTTAATATTCTGTTCTTGTGGTGAATTTCTGGGATCTTGAGTGTATGTTTGGGTATGGATTTATTTTGGTTATGGCTAATTGGAGTTATGTATGCTTCACTTAACTGTATGTCAGGTTCTTTTCCCATGTCTGGGAAATTTTCTGCTATACCGCAAATAGTCTTTTTATGTCATTTGTATTGACTCCTGCTTTTTTCATTGACAACTATCAGTCTTTTTTTTCTTTGCATCATATTGCAGATGTTGAATTATTTCCTACTTATTATTTTTAAGAGATCTTTCCTCTTGTGATTGCTAGCTGCAATCCCGTCTTCAAGGTCTGAAAGTCTGTCTTCAGTTTTGTTCAAGAGGTTTTTACCAGTTTTCAATGGAATTTCTAATTTCCTGGATATTGCTTTGAATCTGTTTCATGCATTCTAATTCTTTCCAATAGTATTCAAGGTTTCCATCATTTTTCTGTGTTCCTGTATTTTTTTATGTCTTCTTTGGACATGCTGAGCGATCCTTTCATTATGGTTGTAATTTCTTTTTTTTACTTGAGAGATTATTTCTGATTTGATTTGCTCTGTAGCCTCCTGGAGTTGTTTCTTTGCTTAAATTTTAGCATTTCAGAAATTTCAAGTGTGTGGCTTCCAATTTCTTCTATGTCTCTGTCTCCTGGACTTGTTCTAGGTGGGCTAGAGGTCTGAGATTGTGTTTTGCTCCTGTGTTTTCACATTTTTCTATTTCAAAAAAAATTTTTTATTTGTTTCTTGTGATGATCCTGGTGAGTTTTGGTAGTAGGTAGCTATATCACTAGTATCAAGGCCTCTCCAAGAATAGTCTGTACTTCAGGGATATCTTCTGTGTGTAGGAGATTCTTGTTTTTTGTCTGTCCCACAATCCTACCTTCCCAATTAATTGAAAGTGGGATGTTGGTTTCTGTTTGGCTCAGTCCCCAGTCTTTTGGTGTAGGGTTGTGGTGAGATTATTGCCCCAGAGCTTCCCAATGTTGTTACACAAGGAAGAACAACTGGTTACAACAGATATGACGTCCTAGCTACAGTAGTACAATTAGCAATAAACACAATTTAGAAACTGACAAACTGTGATAACTATGAATTTTGTACTTTAGACCATAGGAGCACAGAGTTGGTAGTTGTATAACAGAACTGATTGTAAATTAGGAGTTTTTATGTAAAGTGTTTCCACATGTTAGAGTCGATTTGCTCTGGGTTCCTGTGAAGGAGCTGGTTCCATGTCCTGGGTGCTTCGTGAGCTGGTTGCCCAACCTGCAGTGTAGGAGTATGGACCAGGCACCAGGGTTCCTCCAGATGGAGGCTCCCTGGATGGTAGAGGGATGGTGGGCGGGGTTTCCCCCCACAGGCTCACCAAGGCTCCCAAGGCCCACCTTGGCTGCCACAATGGTCGGGGGGCAGTGGGCAGGGTTTCATTGTACTCTTTTGTTTCCTTTTTTGCTCTTTGTCTTGGATAAGTTCCCTATTCTGTGTTCTTTTTTTTTTTTTTTTTTTTTCCTATTCTGTGTTCTTAAGGCCATGCTGTGGCCAGGAGCCTGAAGGGGTACTTTGGTAGGTCAGATCCTCAGGGAGAAGAATGCACACGCAACAGACATCAGTTCCAAGGGCAGGCAGAATCAAGAGAGCAGCCTGTGTCTTTATTGTTTGACTGTTATGCAGGTGGTTATCATGTATTTATATTCTTGCATGTTGACTGAACTAGCACATGTGTAGTTGTCTACTCCTAAGTCATTCTTGTATAACTGTTCCCCAGTGTGTGCCTGCACTAGATAGCTGTGTTGTGTCCTTAAACCTGGCCAGTGGCATACTTATCTGCCTCCTGAGCTTTGAAGCCTGAAGCAGTCTGTCTGGAACGGTGCCCACTTTGCTGTATCTCCTAATATAAGCAGTAATGTGTTACTCTGGTTTCTTTCCCTTTAAAAGACTCTTAAGTTCTTTACCATTCTCTCGTGAGATGAGTTTCAAACTGCAGGTCTGTTCAAGAAACTTACCACTTTATATTGGCCCCTCATTATTTGCTTTATCTCTTAGGAAGTGAGTGATGTTCACTTCTATATGGGTATTAGAAATTGTTTTGGATTTAGGAAGGAAACAGAAGCATGCCCATAACTGTAATATATAAGTAACTTACCTGTAATGCAGAACACCTGAAGATTAAGTTGTTTGAATTAGGCCAAGTATTTAAATGCAAAAGCACTAGATTATCAGTGATTGAACATGTTTACTGCTTTCTCATTCATCTATGCCCAGGAACACACATATGAACTTCTGATTTATTTATTTTGTGTGTGTGTGTGTTTTCACAATTTCCATTCCTGCATATTTATGAGAACATATTCATGTAGAAGTTTTGAGCCTGCCAGTTCAGTGATGCACAGCTTGTTAACACAAGCTGTTTTTTCTGCTTCATTTGTACTCTTTTCTAAATTGAACAGATGCCATAGGTTATTGAACACATTGTTGGCAGTGTGTTATGCTTAAGTCTTCACACTACACTGTTGGCTCTTTTTAGGAGCAGAATGTTACTCCCTTGTTCTTGCTAGGAACAAGAACAATGTATAAAGGAGAGCTGGGTGCTGTAATCTTAGCATTCAGGAAGCTGAAGCAAGGGAATCTCTGTGAGTTCAAGGCCAGCCAGGATTACATAGCTCACTTCTCAAACAAACAGTGTAGGGACTTTTCGGTCTCTTGGTGTACCATGGGGAGGAATGGCGGCAGGTATGAGAAAAAGATAGATAAGAGACAAAAGCTGGAGTCAGGTGGAGTGGGCAAGAGGACTGACTAACAACAGTAGGGGCATTTGTACCCTTGCAAAGTTAGTATCATGAAAGGCAAGATTGCCTTAGCTACTAAAGACTGAAATTGTCCAGGCTTGATGTTATTTTAAGGCTGAGGTAGCTTGACTGCTTGAGGCACTCTGGCTCTGTCCTGCTGTCACACATATGACCAATTTCCAGCTCCAGCTGCTCCTGACAAAACAAATCTATAAAATAAATTATGTAATAGCTTTTTTGTTTGTTTGGTTTTGTGGGGAGTTGGGTTCTGGGGATTCACTGCAGGACCATTGCCCTGAGCTATATCTCCATCCCTTTTTAAAATTTTTTTTATTTCTAGGGAGGGTCTTGCTAAGTCATCAGTAGCCCAGGCTAGGCTTCAACTTGGAATCCTCCTGCCTCAGTCCCCCAGAGTACTGGGATTATTTTTGAATACTAAATTAGTACAGAGCCAAGATATTTTTAATTTTTTTTCTCCTATAATGTCAAGTACAAATCAAGCTGTATCTTACAAAAAACACACGTAAGGCATAAGTTCACATAGAAGAGTTAACCCCTACAGTCCTGTTCTTTTGGCCCAGTGAAGATTTGGGTTGATGAGAAATGTTCCCTTACAGGGCCTGGTGTCATTTGAGGATGTGTCTGTGGACTTCACCTGGGAGGAGTGGAAGGACCTCAGTGATGCCCAGAGGAACCTCTACAGAGAAGTGATGCTGGAGACCTACAGTAATCTGGTGGCTTTGGGTGAGTGAAGCCCCTCACCCTAATAACTCTTGAGTAGCAGTTACTTTCTTTTTGGTTAGTAAATGTAGGAACCATGTCCAAGTTTTAATGCTACTTTTGTATATTTTTAGCTGTCATGTACCATTTGTACATTTATAGGGTAGAGCATGGCTTTCAGTACATGAATACAACCTGACATCTATCACTGGTTTGTACTGGGAACATTAAAATCCTGTGTACTAGTTTTTTGAAATACTCAATTATTGCTAATCCATGAAACATTAGAAGTTCTTGCTCCTATCCAGCTCCACCCCTGTGTGCATTAACCATCTTCTCTCCATCCTGCCCACTTTGCACATGCTTTCCAGAAGCTACTCACCACTGTTTTATTCTCTGTTTCTCCGAGATCCAGTTTAACTTGCATATATAAGTGAGAATATGGAGCATTTGTCTTTCTGTGCCTGACACTCACTTGGCTTAACATAATGTCCTCTAGTTTCATCCATGTTGCTATAATGAAAGAATTTTGCTTCTTTTTTAAAATGGCTCAGTAGTGTTTCCATGGGTATGTACCACATTTTCTTTATCCATTATCAGTTAGTGGACACGCAGGTTGGTTATGCATCATGGCTTTTGTAAACAGTGCTGCAGTAAATGTGAAACTACAGATTTCTCTTCAAAACACAGGATTAATTTCCTTTGAGTGAATATATGTGGGATAGCTGTTCTGTGTCTTTCATCCTTTATTTTATAGTGGCTGTATATTTTACATGTCTACCAGTAGTGTAGGAGTGTGTCCCTTTCTTTGTATCCTTTTCTTTTTATTTTAAAGAAAATTGTAGAAAAAAAGAAACAGTAGCAAAATATAAACAACACAAAGCAAGAACATTAAAAATGATACAGGGTTTCAAACCAAATGATAGGGGCTGGGAATTTAGCTGAGTGGCACAGCACCTGCCTGGCAAGGGCAAGGTCATGACTTTGATTCCCGGTACTGGGAAAAAAAACCAAAAAACCAAATGATAGAGACTGACAGTGGTTGTTATATTACATTTGTTATCTTTAATGAAGTTGCTCAGATTACCAGATGTATGAATAGAAGATTGATCAAATCATTGAAGGGAATAAGAAAATAATAATTCAAAAGAACATTACAGACAATACGTAATGTCACTAGGCAGGATTGTAGGAATTCACCAATGGATATTATACTGCAAATTGTTATTGTCACATAAGTTGCTCAGATTATCAGATACAAGCATGCAAAATTGGTCAAAATATTTTAAAAAAACTTCTAATCATCAACTGTTCCCCTCAACAAACCATCAGATACCAACAGTACAGTTATGCTACCGATCCATATATATATATATAATGCCTTAGTACTTTCTTTTTCTTCTTTTCCCTCATCCCAGTTATTCCTTCCTTTGAGCAGTTTCTTTCCCTTTCTTATTACCTATTGTACATTTTGGGTTTTATTTACTCTTTTATGTTCTTACACCAGGGAGACAATATGATGTTTACACATGTGGGTCCAATTCATTTCACTTATGATTATGGTCTCTAGTTGCTTACCTATAAAAGCCTCGAGTTTATCTTTTTTTATAGCTGAGTAATACTCCATTGTGTAGAAATACCACATCTTTTTTATCCATTCCTCAGTTGATGGGCATTTGGGTTGTTTCCAAGATTTAGCTATGACAAATTGCACCACTATAAACATGGGTGCACATATATCACTGTGGTATGACATTTTTAATCCTTCTGGAAATATACCTAGAAGGGGAATAACTGTGTTGAGTGGGACTTCTAATCCTAGTTTTGTGAGGAATCTCCAGACTGATTTCCACAGTGGTTTCACCAATCGACACTCCCACCAGCAGTGTAGAAGTGTTCCTTTTTCCCCACAGCCTCTCCAGCATTTGTTATTGGTTGATTTCTTAATGATAGCCATTCTTTGTGGGGTGAGATGAAATCTTAGCGTTGTTTTAATTTGCATTTCTCAAATGACTAATGATGTTGAACATTTTTTTATATATTTATTTGCCATTACTATTTCTTTTCTGAGAAGTGTGTGTTCATCTCAGATGCCCATTTTTGGATTGGGTCTTTTAACTTTTGGGGCCTGATTTTTTAAAAATTCTTTATATGTTCTAGATAGGAGTCCTTTGTCTGAAGGGCAGTTGGATAAAATTTTTTCCCAATTTGTGGGTTTTCTTTTTACTCTGTTGGTAATTTCTTTTGATGTGCAGAAACTTTTCAATGAGGGGAGATCCCAGTTGTTGATTCTTTGAAGTATTTCCTGTGCAGTTTGGTTTTTGTTCATGAACTCTCTGTCTACCCCTGTGTCTTTGAGAGTTTGACCTACTTTCTCTTCCAGTAGATTTAGTGTTTTTGTTTTGATATTGAGATCTTTGATCCATTTTGACTTTAGTTTAGTGCATGGTGATAGACATGGGTCTAGTTTTAGTCTTTGGCATGTGGAAAGCCACTTTTTCCAGCACCATTTGTTAAAGAGGCTATCTTCTTTCCAGTGAATATGTTTGGCCCCTTTGTCAAAAATAGGCTGTGTGTGTTTGTAGTTGTGTCTGCATCTTCTAACCTGTTCCATTGATCTTCAGGTCTGCTTTTTTGCCTCTACCATGTTGATTTTATCACAGTAGCTTTGTAGTATAAATTCAGGTCAGGGATTATGATGCCTCCTACCTTTCCTTTGTTTCCTAGGATTGCTTCTGCTATTCTAGGCCTCTTCTGGTTCCAGATGAATTTTAGGAATGTTTTCTCTATATCTGTGTGGTATACTAATGGTATTTTAATAGGGATTGCATTGAATCTGTACAACAATTTTGGGAGTATGGCCATTTTCACAATGTTGGTTCTTCCTATCCATGAGCAAGGAACATCTTTCCATTTTCTGGAATCTTCTTTGATTTCTTTTTTCAGAGTATTGTAATTTTTACTGTATAGATCTTCTACTTCCTTTGTTAGATTGATTCCTAAGTATTTCATTTTTTAGATGTTACTTTGAAAGGTGTGGTTTCACCAGTTTCTCAGTCTGCTTGTTTGTGTATAGGAATGCGATTGATTTTTGAGTGTTGACTTTGTATCCAGCTATGCTACTGAATTTAGTTATTAAATCTATAAGCCTTTTGGTGGAGTTTTTGGGGTCTTCTATGTAGAGTATCATGTCATCTGCGAATAATAATTTCACTTCTTTTCCTATCCTTATTCCTCTTATCTCTCTCTCTTGTCTAAATGCTCTAGCTAATATTTCCAGAACTATATTGAATAGGAGTGGTGACAGTGGACGTCCTTGTCTTGTTCCTGACTTTAAAATGAAAGCTTTCAGTTTTTGACCATTTAGAATGATGTTAGATGTGAGTTTCTCACAGATGGCTTTTATCAGATTGAAGTAAAGTCAATCTATGCCAATTTTCTGTAGGGTTTTTATCACGAATAAGTGTTGGACTTTATCAAAAGCTTTTTCTGCATCAGTTGAGATGATCATGTGATTTTTGTCGTTGGCTCTATTGATATGGTGTATTACATTATTTGATTTGTGTATATTGAACCACCCCTGCATTCCTGGGATGAATCCCACTTGGTCATGGTGTATAATTTTCTTGATGATTTGTTGCATTATGTTTGCTACTGTTTTATTGAGAATTTTTGCATCTGTGTTCATTAGGGAGATTGGCCTGTAGTTCTCTTTTTTGGTTGGGTCTTTCTCTGGTTTTGCTATCAGGATAATATTTGCCTCCAGAAATGAGTTGGGGAGAATTCTTTATTTTTCAATTTCCTTAAATAGTTTGAGAAGTATTGGCATTAAATCTTCTCTAAATTTCTTGTAGAATTGAGCTGTAAATCCGTCAGGACTTGGGCTTTTCTTCATTGGCAAGTTTTTTATTACATTTTCAGTTTTGCTTGCTGATATAAGGTTATTGAGGATTTTTATATCTTCTTCATTCAGCTTTGGTAGTTCATGTGTTTCTAGAAAGCTGCCCATTTCCTTTGTGTTTTCCATCCTGTGAGAGTAAAAATTTTCAGAGTAGGTACTGATGATCTTCTGAATTTCCACAGGATCTGTAGTGATTTCATCTCTTTCATTCCTTATTGCATGTATTTCCGTTTTTTCTTTCCTTTGTTTAATGAAGTAGGCTAGGGATTTATCAGTTTTATTTTTTCAAAGAACCAACTCTTCGATTCATCAGTTCTTCATATTTTTTTTTTTTTTTTTAGTCCCCATTGCATTAATTTCTGTCCTGAGCTTTATAATTTCCTGCCTTCTCTTGGCTTTTGGTTTGATTTCTTCTTCTTTTTCTAGAAGCTTAAGGTGCAGCATAAGATTGTTTATTTGTGCTCATTTTGTTTTCTGGAGGTAGGAATTCACTGCTATAAATTTCCCCCTGAGGACTGCTTTCATTGCATCCCACAGGTTCCTGTAAGTTGTGTCTACGTTTTCATTTGATTGTACGTAGTGTTTAATTTCTTCTTCGATTTCATCTGTGACCCAGTGATTGTGCAGGAGGGTGCTGTTTAATTTCCATGTGTTTATGAGTTACTGTGATTTCCTTTGTCGTTAATTTCCACTTTCATTGCCCTATGGTCTGATAGTATGCATGAGGTAATTTCAACTTCTTTGCATTTCCTTAAGCATGTTCTATGTGCTAGCATATGGTCTATTTTAGAGAATGTCCCATGTGCAGCTGAGAAGAATGTGTATTCTGATGCTGTTGGGTGGAACATTCTGTACTGGTCTACTAAGTCCATTTGTTCACATGTTTGGTTCAGTTCTGTTATTTCTTTGCTAATTTTTTGTCTAGTTAACCTATCTCTTTGTGACAGTGGGGTATTGAAGTCTCCTATTATGATTTTGTTGCTGCTCATTTCATTTTTCATGTCTGTTAGAATTTGTCTTATATACTTATGTGCTTCTGTGTTTGGTGCATAGGTGTTTACGGTTGTTATCTCTTCTTCTTGAAGTGCTTCCCTCACAAGTATGTAGTGACCTTTTAATTGTT